CAAGTCAGTTTCATAAATTGATTCATCTTCCTACTACAACTAAAAAAATGACTAGAAAGAATAATTTTGTTTCATAGGTGGTAAAAACTCAGGAAAAAGTTGCTATCTTTGGACGTGTTTCCTGAAATCAGCAATGTAGATAGAAATGGATTCTTCTATTGTCTGTAGTAAACTATTCTAAACATTTAAAAATTTTAAAGTATGTGTTCTACCTGTATTCTTTCCTATGAAACTGTTGTAGGACATTAATAAAGGCTGACAGAATTCAAAACTTCCCTTAGTTGTTCCATTCTTCTAGCCTTCCCACCAGCTGCTCTTTATAATTTAGAAGTGCCTGCTTTGTGTCAGGCACAATTCTACGTGCTAGAGATACAGCTGTAAACAAACGTAGTTTGTTTTCTAGTTTCAGGAAACAGTCATGTAAAGAAAGCAAATATATACAGTATAGCAGATTAAGAATTGTACAAAATACTAAGAAATACAGAAAATCTATTTCTATATGATTGTCAGAGTCTGGGCTAAATTGCTTGCTTTGAGTTTAAATATCTATTTAAATCCTTGCTTCTCTATCACATTCCTTGCCTATGCTAATTTTGTTTAGGGTTTGTATTGAATATTTTAGGTTCCAAATTACATAGCAATATATAAATATTAAACCTAAATAGAACTTATTAAACTTAGATATAATTTTGAAGTAAATGTTATTCATGCTAAATAATATATAAGTTCTTAGAAAATCATAAAAATCAAATTTTTAAAATTTTAATAATTTTTCAGCATTAGGGGATTATATTTAAATGCTAATTTAAAAAACTTTAGAAAATGAACCATCATTTTTCACTTGTGTGAAACTAAGTTTTTTTTACATATATGGTAGTTTGCTTAAATCAGGGTACACACATACACAGGCATCATATTTAGTCAAATGAACAATTTATTTCCATCGGGTACCAGTTAATCTTACATGTTTGCTAATCTTAAATGACTGTCACATCACTTGGCTTTAAAAGTTCTCTGTGTTCTCACTAGGGTAGCTTATTTTCTGCTCTTCCCAAGCTATAGCAAAAAATGTCTATCATTGCCTGTGCTACCCTGCCAACTGACCTAAGAGAAACTCCTTTCCCTATAGTCCTTGCTACGTGAGTAGTAAACCATGCCAGCTTTTTATCCCTACCCACTGATCCCCAGTTAATTAGATCAGAGGGAACCCTGAACAATGATTGCCCATCCATAGTCTAAACAGGTATTTGTGACATGGTTTGGTGTAACTGGCTCTGCTCAGGCAGAGCCTATGGTTTTGGGTTGAGATAGATTCTTTTCAGGATTTTCAACTTATTGATGTAGGGAAGCTGCCAGATGGTGATGAGCATTGTAGCTGAGAGGTCACATAGAGCTTGCATTAGAGTAGTAATTATGTGGATCATGTGTATATTGCAGAATTGGTTTTCTGGGAAGAAGAGACTAGAACTAAGGTGTTGGGGGGGTGGTTAGGGGGTGCACATGTGTCTGTGTGCGAGTTTGCATGTATGTGAGCGAGAATAATAACAGTTCCTGATGGTTTCATAAGCCCTGAAAGGCCCAACCTGGCCTCCTCACTGTCCTACAGACATGCTCATTCCCAACTCTGTGCATTTGCCTAAGTTAGTCTCCCTATTTTTGGTCTTTCTTGAATAGTACCACCAGGTTAGTGTTCCTTAAAATCTCCTGATAATGATATTTATTGGGCCAAAAATCATTAATGGTTTCTGCATTACCTTTGTGATAAAGTTTAAGTTCCTTAGTTATGTATATATGATCTTTTTAACTCTGCTTTCTAAGATGTTTTGTCTAAAAGAACAAAGCCCATTTAGTTTGGCATTTCAGTATAACAGGTCATGGTGAAAGTCCATAGCTCTATTCTTTTGGTCATTTGTCTCTAGGAACTTTACTGAGAATATCAGTTAGACTGAGAGCCCCATAGTCATTTGTTGCAGAAGGAAAGAGAAATGGCTCTCTGGTTGAAACATGAGCTGCCAGAGGCATGTCTCTACATTTTGAATGTAGGTGAATAGTGGTGCATTCAGGGGCTACTGCCCCTGGTGGAAGAATTTTATGAGTCCAGCCTTCCCTATCCAGCTTCTTGCCAGTTGACAGGCAGTCTGTCTGATGCTTAACCTGACAATGTTGCCAGACTGTCCAGTAACCCTTTCTTTGAGTTTTAAATTCTAAATATTTTTATTGATCAGAAAGAAATAGCCCTTTAGAGATCATTTAAGTTTTGCTTTGAAAGCCCTGACCACCACAGTGCCAACAGAATTGACTTATAGTGTGGTTGGTTAAACGGGCATTCATTTGGGAATTTTTCAGAACTCCAAGTTTTATGGGTCAGCATTCAGCCTTATCCTCTAATTTGAAAAAGATGTGAAGAATAGCAACATATAACTCTTGGCAAGATACAAAATGCAATGATTTCCCCTCCTTATCATGGCCTTTATCTTTTAAAGATTATCTATTAAAATCTTAACTCTTTACTCTAGAATTCAAGATCTCTCACAATTTTTTCCCATCTGCATTCCATTCCTTCTCTAAAGGAATTCTCTTTTTTAGCTAAGTAAGTCTATCCATTCTCCTTCCTCCCCACAACATGCCAGGCATATTTCTCCCTCAGTGTCTTTGCACATAACGTTTGCCTAGCCTTAAATATCCTCTCTCCTATCTCTAGCTTGCAAGGCCCAGCATAATATTTACTTCCTCAAATCAAAATAATATAAATTATATATCAGCATCAATAAATACTTTAAAAATAAATGACTCCTCTTTTCACTGACAGAAGGCATATGCACTGTGAATTTATAGTTATCCTAGGTGACTGAGCATTTTGCAAATAAAAATTTCAGGGGTGTCACACAAAAATGAAGTTTCTAGAATTTTTTGAAATAACAAAGATTGGTCAACACCGGGCCCACTTTTCTACAAATAAGAGGTTGGAGCTGAGAAATTATTATCCCTTTAAATGATACTTGTATTCACCACTTTAATCCCACCACTCCTTACTCTCTCCCCATATTGCCCCAGCCTGCTTTGGGTCTCTACTTGGCCCTCTGCCCCATAGGCAAATGAATTTAAGATGATGGCTATGGAGATACCCAAGGAAAACGAAAGGATAGTCTTCTAAGAAGAAAGGAGAGATTACCAAGGTCTTTGATAGTCTCTGTCTTAACAGCTAGGAAGGTCACTTCATATTTACCTCCTACCTCCTAATTGACAATAATCAGCGAAAATAACTCAGAAAGTAAGGATATTTAATCATGGGAAAGTTACCAAGAAATGAAATACCTTTCAGAAAGTAATGTTCTGACCTTAGCTCAGAATAGGGAGTAATCACTAAGAAGGCTGTCTGAGGGGGCTTCCCTGGTGGCGCAGTGGTTGAGAATCTGCCTGCTAATGCAGGGGACGCGGGTTTGAGCCCTGGTCTGGGAGGATCCCATATGCCACGGAGCAACTAGGCCCATGAGCCACAACTACTGAGCCTGCGTGTCTGGAGCGTGTGCTCCGCAAAAAGAGAGGCCGCGATAGTGAGAGGCCCGCGCACCGCGATGAAGAGTGGCCCCCGCTTGCCACAACTAGAGAAAGCCCTCGGACAGAAACGAAGACCCAACACAGCAAAAATAAATAAACTTTTTATTAAAAAAAAAAAGAAGGCTGTCTGAGACTTGACATCACTTTTAGGATCCATTTGCTCCAAAGGGTGAGCCCTTTGGGACAATAGAATGGAAGCAAAGCTTTCAAAACAGCTAATATACCGGAGGTAGGGATTCATTTTGGCCTTAAATGTAGTTACTGTCCCTTTTCTCATCTGCCTTCCTATAAACATTTTGATTAGGCAATAATAGTTGGTATTTGTCCAATGTTTTAAATAAGTTCTTTTATTATGTTGCCTCATTTAAATTTCCTAAAACCCCTACAAAGTGGGATACAATGGATGAAGAACGTCAGGCTCCGGGAGTTTAACTGAATTACCTAAGTTCACATGAATATTAAGTGATAGAATTGGAAGTAGATCCTAGATCTTGAGATTTCTGGCCTTGTGCTCTGTAATTTTATACTGTCTGGGTCTTCATTATCTTCCTATGAATGATCTCATCCTGCTTTTGTATGTGTTACCAAAGGACAGGGCAATGACGCTAAGTCTGTAGCAAGGAGACAGTGATGTGAGAAATGAATTTTAGAACTGAGACAGCCTCTTATAATTTATTCAGTCTTCTTTACCTCCTTGAGTAAACTACCTGGAAAGTGGCTAACGGTTTTCTCAGAACGTCAAAAGTCTTTTTTTTTTTTTCTTTTTTTTGACCATACCACACGGCTCGTAGGATCTTAGTTCCCTGACCAGGGATTGAACCCAGGCCCTCGTTAGTGAAAGCACAGAGTCCTAACCACTAGACCCCCAGGGAATTCCTGAATGTCAGAAGTCTTGATCTACATGTCTACTGTAGATCAAAAATATTGATCTACATGATCTAGTGAAATTGCCTTTTAAATTGTTTTAATTTATTGCCTTTTTTTCCTGTTAGAATGTTAGCTTCTCAAGGGCAGAGACTCCATCTTGCTTACCACTGAATCCTCAGTGTTTAGAACTATACCTAGCAGATATAAGACAGTCAATAAGTATCTCATGCCTAATTCACTGACTTAGTGTTTTAATGTCTTTACATTGAGAACCTGCTGCCCCCAGTCAAATGTTGGTTGTTTTTCTGAAATCCACTTTTTCCTTTAGGTCTGACATGGGTGGTCAGCCCTGTGAAGGAGTGTGGACATTGACCTAGAGCAGCTTGGAGTTGAAACAATTATGTTTATGTGATAAAAGTCTCTGAGTCACATGGCAAATAGGTTTATCTTTGTATACCTTTTCTCTCAATGCTGCTTGTATTTGATCCTTTGTAGCCATCAATACTTTCAAGCCCCTTCAGTTCAGAAGTGTCCTGTGTTGTCTGTCTATACCATGAAGTGGGAGAGGTTGGGAAGCATTGCTTTATTGGATTACAAGCAGAGTCTAAGATTCCGGACTTCAGCAAGAGGTCTTGTGCATGGTAAGAGTTTTGTGATAATGCAGGCGAGGGAAATACACAGACATGTTTGTAACAGAGCATCAGCAAATCTGCTATTTCCAAGAACAGAAAGCACAAAAATCCAGATTCTGAAAGGTTAAGAAGGGCTTACTGTTTAGTACTGAGACTTTGCCAGTTTCTTCATGGTTGAGCCTAGCCTTTTCTAATTCCTAATATTTGAATCCATTGGGTGGTCTTGTTTAATAAAGACTTCTATTAAGAAGGGAAGAGAGGGCAAATAGTGTGCCTGATCCTTGCAGGGAGAAAAAAAGTATGTTGAAAGAGCACAGAGCTCTCAGGATGTTAAGTAACACTGTACTTGGGGCTTGTCATAGCCTGAAGCAGTTGGTGCTGTTTCCCAATGTGAGCTCTTTTTTGTTTCACCAGGACAATGTTAGGTCCCAGGAGTCTTTCACGTGACTGTTTGTCACTATTAAGAGCCAAGTGCCTGTTCTGAAGAAAACAGAGCTGTAGTTAAAGTGTTCAGGAGAACTCCTTTTGAAGTGTCAGGGGACAGGATGTGTGTAACAGGGTAGGAAGAGAGGCTAACATTTATTGAGAGTCTGTTTCACACAAGACAGTGCTGGGTACTTGCATATGTGCTATCTTATTTAATCTTTATAACAGTCCTATAAGATTAATACTATTTTTCCATTTTCTAGATTTGGAAACCAAAACTTAAGAAAATTAGATGACTTTCCCAATGTTACACAGCTTTTAATAGTGGAGCCATATCTAAATCTGAATTGTCTTAACTCTCAAACCGATGATTTTTTCCCCTTCATGATATTGCTTTGGATTCCATGTATGATGATGGAGAAGTCTCATTTCTTGATCTTCCTATAGAGGGAGAGGGAAACAGTATAAAATAGCGGAATTTACATGCATTTACATATTCCTTTCTAACCTTAACTTTCAAAATGTTTTAAATATACTGAACTTTTAAACATAATACTGAGTAAGGTCTTAATGGGTGATGCAGTGGAGTGGCTGAGAAGTACTTTTCTCCCTAAATTTCAAGATGTTTGCAAAAGTATATATTACTTTCTGGAAATTTCCAATTATGAGCCATTAGGTCCTAAAGAACAGAGGTTAATAGTGACCTTCAGGATATAGCATCATCGTCATATGTTTAGACTTAACTCCGGTTGAGAATTCTCATTTCTAAAACAGTTCATTTTAATCTAAGTATTTCTTGAAGGCAGACTCAGACTTAAGGCCTCTGTCCTATAAATGACAGAATTACTGGAAGTTCTGTCTTAAAGTTCATACTATATATTTTTACTCTTCATTGATGAAAATAAAGACTTCACATTAAAATTTTCTTTTGAGACTTCCCTGGCGGTCCAGTGGTTAGACTTCACGCTTCCACTGCAGGGGCCGTGGATTTGATCCCTGGTCGGGGAGCTAAGATCCCACATGCCATGCGGTACCGTCAAAAGAAAATAGATAAATAAAATAAAATTTTATTTTATCTTTTCATACTACAGATGTAAACCCTCATTTCGGCACAATAATGAGAACCTAATTTTCCGTTTGCTTTGCTAGAGGCCCCTCCTCACAGGTTGAAATGTGGGACACAGAAATTTACTTGTTTGTTTCATTTTATTTTTCTTCCCCCCTAGGGATCATTTGACTTTCATTTGAAGTTCTAATTGACATAGGGGGAAAAACAGAAAAATGGTGAAATATTTGAGATAGTAACATAGAAAAATACCAATTAAATTCGATTCCAAATCTCAAAAGTGGATTTGTATTTCTGTACTTTGAAGAATTGGTTCAGCTACTATAATCTTTTTTTGTTGTTTTGTTTTAATCTCTGACATAGAGTGATTTAACATAAATAGAATAATTTTATAGGTGTCTTCTAAGAGAAGGTGGGGAGAATGAGATTATTGTACTAAAACAATAGATTGGAAATGTTCTGCACACAAGCTCCCTTGTCCTCTTGCTATGGGCAAGGGAATTACGGAAATGAAGTAAGAATGGTATGTTAACTGTGGGCTTCCTGATTTTTCAGTGTTATTGTTGAAGATTAAAATTTGACTATAAGAAAATTGCTTGATTTGGCTGTTCTCTTTTTTCTTAGAACTGACAGTAATGAGTTGACAGGAAGGGATAGGCTTTGCACCTGAGCTCCTGACCCTGCTTTTAGTCACGGTATTCATTAGCACTCCCCTAAACAAGTTCACATTCTTGGCAGCTCTAACCTGGAGTCAGTAGAGATGCTGCTTAATCAACCAATATTATTTTAATGTTGCTGGGGTATGAGATACTGTGGTAAAATCAGAGAATGTAAGATACAGTTTACCCAACCCCATCTGTGTTAAGTTGCCTTGGATGCATTATCTCATTAATTCTTCACAGCAACCCTATCCCTTAAATCTGTTAAAAATCATCATTTTACAGATTAGGAATTTAAAACTTAGCCAGCCACACAGCTAGAAATAGTGAAGTTTTAATTTAGGTTTGGATTTAGGCTTGTATGACTTCAGAACCCATGTTCACTAATCACTGGGGGTAGGAACTAGGGAATAGATAGGCATTTGCACGTACATAGAATCTCATTATGAGAAAACATCAGACAAACCCAAATTAACATTCTATAAAATAACTAACATATTCTTCAAAAATGTCAAGATCAAGAAACACAAGACAGGTTGACTGAGAAACTATTCTAGATTAAAGGAGACTAAAGATGCATGACATCTAAATGCAATCAATGTGTGATTGTGGGTTTGATTTGGAAGCAGGAAAAAAAAACTTCATAAAGGACATTACTGAGGTATTTGATAAAATTTGAATGTAGACTGGGTTAGATAGTAGTGTTTATCAATATTATGTAACCGTGACTATATACGAAAATGTCTTGTCTTTAGGAAATATGCACTAAAATTTTTAGGATAAAAGGGCATGACATTCCTTATTTACTCTCACGTGGTTGTGAGAGAGAGGGAATGACAAAGAAAATGTGGCAAAGTATAAATAATTGAATAAATGGTGAATCTGGGGAAAGAGTATAGGAGAGTCATATTTTTGTCATTTTTTTGTATACTTGAAATGATGTAATGAAAATTTTTAAATGCCTTATATTCTATAAATGTGGCTAAAATTCTTCAGAAACCTTCAAAACACAACTGGGGCCAGGAGATGAGGACCATATTCTATTCATGCTTCCTCCATTGGCAAAGAACTTGCCAAACCAAGTTGAGGAGGTAAACATAGACTGTTATTTTGAAGAGGAAACATAAGTCATACTGTCAAGATGTTTTTCTTATATCTCCTTTGGGGACATACCTCTCTTTTCTTCAAAATAGTTCATTGTTTTCACTGATATTTTTGTCCCATTTCTTTGGCCCCTCTTAGATAGTTCATATTTCTGACTTACTGACATAATCTTGGATAGAGTGCTAAATATGTTCTTTTTAACAAAAGAATAAACTACAAAGTAGAGTAAACACTATTTTTACTAATTATTTATGTTCGTTTATTTTTATCTTTAACAGTGTATATGCCGTCTACATTCTCTCAGTTTTAGGTGGTTTTTAGTCAAGCCTTGATTACATATGAGTGAACTATGCTGTTTCGGGCATTATCAGGGGCACTCTTTTCCTTCAGTCCACCCAGTCCTGTTTACCCTTGCCTTGGCCAGAGAACAGATGTGGGCAAAATATGAAGGATGTTAAAGGTTTAAACTCATAATTTAATATATTTTTCTCTTTTTCCCAATACTTTTTCATTCTCTTTCCTTTTTAAAAAAATTGAGATATGACATATAACATTATATCAGTTTCAGATGTACAACATAATGATTTATTATTTTTATATATTGCAAAATGATCATATTTATCTTTTTGTTTTCCGAAAGGGCTTTTCAATGCTGATGTGATTTTTTTCAAGATGAATAATTTGGTGTTCCTGGGTTAGATAACAAGGCAGAACTGGGAATTCCTTCCGATTATAGATGGAAAGAACCCCAGGGTTAAGCAGGTATTTTGGTTCTACTGGCTGTGATCTGGGAGAAGGAGTCTCAGTCAAGGAGGTCCACACATTAGTCAATAGAACAACAAAAGCAAATGTCACCTCCCACTTCTGGTGATTGGGACAAGTAACTATATACTGTTGAATCCTCCCTCCCTCCCCCTGCCGCCACACACACACAGAAAGAGAGAGGGACTAAAAGGCCATCTTGCTTCAGAATAAGAACTCAGTCTCTTTATAATATGTCTCTGCATAGTAACTTTGGGTTATCGTACTATCAACACTCAGCTTTCCTTTGAGTCTGTTAAAGTTAACTTAATCATAGATCATAGACTAACTTTCACATGTGGGTACTTAGTGACTATAAATAATGTTGTTTATGTTATTATATATGAATGTGAGTCAGGATTGTGAAATGGTTAAGTGCTTGGACTCTGAAGCCAGACAGACCTGGGTTTAAAACTGGCTCTGCCACTTATTACCTGTGTGGTCTTAAACAAGTTGCTCATCTTTCCTTATCTGTAAAATGGGATAAAATTCTCCTCACCAATGTGAAATAATACATGTAAAGCACTTAGTGTTATGCCTGGCATTTTTATATCTTTGATAAATGTTAGCCATTGTTAGTTATCATTGCTATTAATATTATTATCATTAGTGTAATATCAGTATCCGCTTACATTTGCTAATGTCTTCAGATTTATCACACTTTTCCCATAATCTCTCCTACTCCTGCCTTCCAGGCTGACTTCTTTTTAATTGAGACATTTCATTTTTTAGGTGTTTCATTTTCCCCCAGGGTTCAGAGATGATCCTTGTATCCCCCTCAATCTCTTCTATTCCCTCCACTACTTCCAAAGCCTGCTGAATGAATGGTGACAAAGTAAGAAATTCTCTTTCTTCGCCAGTTAGGACCTGACTACGTGTTCTGTCTTTTGCAAAGGGCTGAACTTTTAATCCTAGTTTCTAGAACTGTGGGCAATATTAAGCAAATGAGGCCTTACTTTCTTTTCCTCCATAAATTGGAGCAGAAGTATATCAAAACCCATAAAATCCATTGCATTATCTGACGAAGTCTTCCTGCTGAATATAGCTAAAAAGATGTGATTTTGGGTCAGATGGACAAAGTCTGTCACTTCTACAGTTGTTTGAAGTACCTTAGCTTTGGCTTGGTCTCTACTTAGTTACGGGGTCGTTCTAAGGATCAGATGAGGTAGGTCATGCGTGTGAAAGGGCTTTCTAAACTGTAAAACACCATGTTAATATGACGGATGATTATTGTGTATGAACAAAGGCCCCAGCAACCTATGTGATGCCAGAATTCAACCCTAGACAGTAAAGATGCAATCTCCTCTCTTTCTGCCACCTCCAGAAGTTTTCAGTAAGCTATTTGAGCTAGAGAGGCTAGTGACTAACTTCATGCAGTGACCACAAATCCTTTCTTCTTCCCTCATCCCCATATTCTCTTACAGAATGTTACGCCAGATTCTGAGTCAGTCTTCAGAGCTGGACTTCGGGATACAGCGTGGCAAGCAAGGTACTTAATAGGATCTAGGAGTGAGGATTAGGAAAGATTTCTTTTGTGCCATTTTCCAACCCCCTTCCTGGCAGCCCCTATTGATTAAATGACATTTCAAAGTCGAGTTCAGTAAGGATGAGGCCAGATATGGCTTCTGCCAAACTGGGCTGGCAGATCTGAGCAGTCAGCAGATAGCTTGTGTGTGTGTGTGTGTGTGTGTGTGTTTCTTGTTTCTGGATTATTAGAAATTCTTTTCTGTACGATGTGAACAGCACACCTAGACTCGTGTGGGATCATCAGCATCATCATCATAACCACACTTAGGGGATGCCTGATAACACAGTACACTCCAAGCACTGGGGATTATTATGAACTGAATTGTGTCCCCCACAAATTCAAATGTTAAAATGAAGGTTACAACGGCCAGTGCCTCAGAGTGTTACTGTATTTGGAGTTAGTTGGAAATCCGACAAAATTAATCCCCATTCTCCACAACATTGCCCCCCCCCAAAAAAAATTCATCCAAAACTTCTTCTCCCTAAATCAGCGTTTTCTGAATTCAAAAGTCCTCTTATCCTTAGTCATTTCAGCCTTTGCCCTCCTTACATAAAGAAGGGCCAAGGGAAATGCTGCTTTATAACTATGCCTATTTTTGCTTAATTGTACTATCATGAATGACTTACAATAAACCACATTGAGAAAGCTGGGAATAGATAGATGGTGCTATTGGCAGAGCAATGGCATTGGCCTCTAATTAGACATCCTCTAGTTGTCCTCTAGTTGTCTTCTTCCCCTGCCAAGGATTTTGTCATTCATTGCCACACTCTTGTCTTTTTATTGGACATATTAAGGTGTTTCCCCCATTTTAATCTCTATGTTATCAAGAACCCCTTAGAAAGCAAGTGCCATTGCATACTTTGTTCCTGCCTAACTAATGGTATTGCCTAAATGAGCTACTCTGGATAAGGTGGGGTTTTTTGTTTGTTTTTGTTTTTTAATCTTCTCTATTCCTTTCATGAAATATATTTTAGTTTGTTTGTCAAAGTTGTTTGCAAATGAGTTTGCTCTGGAATGTACCTCATCAGGAATGATGAAGGGCCCCAATGTGAACTTCAAACTAAAATTAGCAACACTCCTTCTCATGTGCTAAAGAGTTTTGTCATTTGGTTTCTCTAAAATTTAAGTGAAATTTCTCCTTCCTTCAGTGTGATTTGCCTTTTCAGCTGTCTAGCAGTTGTTGCTCTGATTCTTTGTCCATTGTCACGTGGAAACTAGTTCTACTTAGCCAAAATTCTGTATTATTTCCTAAAGATCAAACCACAGCACCTAAAACTAGTTTTTTACCCAAATATTTTTCAGCCACAGTTTTTCAAAATACAGAAAATCTTAACAGCTGAATATTAAATCCAGCTGAAAATGAAAAGTTGTAAAATGAAGTAGAGCACAATATTTTGTAGAAATCAGCCAATGATCTAATTGTATTGAGCTTTTAGTGTTTACATAACTTGGCTCCATTTTATTTTCCTTTTTGGGTATTTCTAAAATACTAAATGTGTAAGTCTTGATGCTTATGTAAATCAGTACAAAATCGGGTATTTCTAATTAGTTCCCATTCTACTCTGTTAAATCTACACTAATCAGGTTTGAAAGTGTCCATATTGAGGGTCAGATGTAGGTGTTAGTGGGCAATGGATTGAATCAAAGAGCTGGGAATTCTGGACTTCATGTAAGTGGGGCTAGTCTCTGGGTTTCTTTTGGTTTGAGTGGTAAAGTGAAGATTGATGTGGTACCTTTACCTTTCACTATACACTGAAGAGGAGCAGATATGTGTCAGCCTGCTTTGAAATCTTTGGAGGAAGAAGAATAGTGATAGTCTTGGTTTAGCAGTACAGAATTTGGCCAATGAAAGAACCACTCATTCTTGCAAGGTCAAAACTATTTTCTCCCTTTCAGAAACAAGTCAGGTTGCCTGGGCCAAAATACATTTTCCTTTTGACCACACATTGGCAGGACAGGCATGTCCAGTTTTCTTCTAGGTCACAGCTCTAGATTTTTTCCAGCTAAGAAATATTCAACCAAAAGAATCTCAGGGTCCTGTTCTTGGCCTATTCCCACTTTCTCTCTTCTTAGAAATTCAAACAACTTTGAGTGGACAGTGTTCTTGGGATCTCATTGCCTTGTTGGGTCACAGGCCCTGAGCCTGCAGATGAAAATGAAAGCACCCCAGCAGAAGGATGTGTGTGTGTTTGTGTGTGTGTAAATTCAGCCTTTGGATTTCATTGAGATTGTCTTGCTAATGCCCCTTTATAAGGTTCACTAGGTTTTCCTGGTGCCTAGTGACCCGGGTGATCAGGTGATTAGAAAGGCACGGAGAGTATGGATCTGGGATCTGACTAGCTTAAGATACTTCATCTATGGATCTGTGCATCTGATATGGGTTATGTGATAAGGAGAAGGATTTGCCTTTGGTATTTTCCTACTTTTATGTTTTATGCCCTACCTATTCATCCCATTTCCCCCAGTCCCTCTTAATAGTAGGTACCCCTATGATTTAGGGCAGGCTACTTGGGTTCATCCTTTCTGGAGGAAAATAAATCTCTTGATTTAAGTTGTAGAAAGCTGTTAATGACTTTTTTGTATTACCTCTCCTGGGAGTATTTCTGTTTTAAAGACATTATCTAGGCTGAGAACAGTAGTCCTGGTTACTAAAGGAAGGGAAATATTTGGGATAAGAAGAACTTTCTGGCTTAAATTGCTACCATATGGGTATGATTTTCAAAAGTAGTTATGTGAAGTCACAGTTAAAGTTCCTCTAATTTCCTTTTCTATAAAACTTTTTGCAGAGCTGCTGTGATTTAGTCATACTAACCAGTTTAAATTTCACTTCCTTTTCCCATCTTGTAGAAATACTTAAAAGATGGACCAAAAAGGAGGAGGAAGTCAAGCAGCAGAGACCCAGATAATAGGTTTCTGAATAATGAAGATCTGATGTTATTTTATTTAAAAATTTTGCCACTTTATATAAAACCTGTGTGCGCCACTTGGAAAGTTGAAGTTAGGTGCCTTAGATTTGTTTAGCAGTAACTTATATCTGTGGTAGATCTGAAACTCCCTGGATACCTAATGTCTGTTTTCTCCCTTGAGTTTCTAGTTAGCTGATTAAAAATTCATGTTTTCTCATAAAGTTTATCTTTTAATGTAATAAGAATTTGTGAGAGTGGGGACTTTTTAATTTTTTTAAGCACTTTAAACTCCTATTGTCAGGTTGTTCTCACAAAAGTGTTTTGAAATGCCTGAATGACATCACCAGAAAACTCAGTAATTGTTATCCAGTGATGGTTAATGCTTTTATACTACACTGGTAATACTCTCTCTTCTTCTAGGAGATTGCAGGAATATGGATAAATACTTCCTCTAGAAGCTGCTCCAGCTCTGAAAGTACCATGTCTTAGTCCCACATATGGTCTTAGCACATTATGGACATCTGTTGAGTTTTGGGGTGAATCATTTTAATTTAGTTGCTTGGTCATTAAGTTTCAGTCGTAGCTTCCAAAAGAGTCTGATTTTAGTATTTTCTGATCTTCAGTAGCATAATTTGCTTCGTGATTTACAGTATAATTTTTTTTTCCCTTTTGGAAAATTGCTTTATCATGCTTTTTACCCAGTAGATGTAGGACTTGTCAGCTATTATATTTGAAATGAGGATTTCCTCAGGATTAAAAATGGCCTGAGTAAGGACCATTGGTTGTAATTATGTATTGCTAAAAATGTTCGTTGAAAGATTAAAAAACATTATAAATCACAAGTTTTCTTTTGGAAAGTATTGTTTTAAGCTACAGCATAAGCTATCCATTGCTTCAGATATAGGGTATAAGAACAGGTTGTAGAGATGAGGCCATGTGTCTGGTATCAAGACCCTTGATGCAAATTCTTCATGAAATGTCATCTCACACGGTTGTTGTTACTATTATTCTTTTTCTTCTTTTTTAATATCAAAATGCTGTTATAATTTTAATATCAAATGATGATAGAAAAAATTAAATACTGGTTCTGGTTCATACTATCATATTTATCACTTAGAGAGCAGCCTTTCTGCCAACTTAGTCATGATAAAAATTCTTGCTGTGCTCATCTTTGGAGTTTGTATTTGGTGATTATGTACTTTCACAGTCTGAAGAAACTCCTGTTTATACTGAAATAGTGATTGAGGCCAGAAGTAAAGTAGGAAATAAAGAAATGATACCCTTACATAGAAAATACTGGAAATGGCAGAGGAGAAGGAGTTGGGGGTAAGAGAATAAATGTCCTGACCTCTGTCTTCTCTTGTCAGAACCCAACTGTAAGCCAGAGAACAAAGGAATGACAATCTTATAGGACCTGGAACAAGGCAGAGAAAGGTGGAGAATGGCTATGAAAAGACAAGTGGAGAATAATCAGCACAGTTTTCAGGGAACTATAACATTTTAATTTTGGATAAGTGGTCCCTTTTGAAGTAACTTGGAGGATTCTTTGCCACAGAGAAGCTATTTTGAGGTCTCCTGAAAGAGTTAGGGAGCAGTATTGGTATAATTCTGAGAAAGCTGCAGGAAGTACAGGATTGAGTGGTGAACACAGATTTACTCATGAAGCTGTTTTAAACTTTTCTTGTGGGCAATGTTCAAAGCCTTTGGGTATCTTATTTATTATGTAATTTATCTTCAGGACACTATTGCCTATTTTGACCTTTGCCATACATTCTCTTCCTCTCTCCAGAAGACACAGAGTGGCGGAGCTGCAGCTCAGAGGGTTAATTTAAGTTTAGGAAAGGACAGCCCAAACAGAGGGATAGGCTTCATGGCTAAAAGTTTGTGCTCAGCCAAGAGTCCCTTTGTGTCAATAAATGAAGCCAAAAGAAGAATTGGAATAGCCTTATGAAAGCTGGTCACCTGTATGTGGCCTTCTGAATCAGTATTGGTTCGCAAGATCCTAAGGCATCCTTTCGCACTCTCATCCTCCATCCCCCAACTTTAGAATTTTTAAGAGGCCACAACATGTTAGAATTTGCCAAAGTTGTATTCTAATGCTAAATATGACCAATAATTTGGGGATAAAGCTTTATGGAAACTTTGCATGGGAAATAATACAGAAGATAGGCTATAAGATTTCTATTTTTTCTTATGTTCAGTTTATTCTAAATGGTTCTATTTAGGTATTTATTAAGTCATAGTCCTTTTTATTTTCTATCTTTAGCATTTTGTCACTGTAGTATTGTTTTGCCAAAGAATTGGTCAGGGTATGCTTCTGGACCTAGATAAGGAAGTCATTTAAATGGACAGTACACACAGAGAGGTTATTTAATAGTATGTAGATGGAGAAACCAAACATTTGCTTAATAACAGCCTTCAAATTTTATATAAAATAATAATCAATTATACTCTCTGACCCTGTTGGGAAATGAGTTTAAGCTAAAACATTAAAGATTTAGGTTTGACAAGTAAGAGTTTCCTGAAGAATGTCAGAGTGGTTACCTGGGAAAGGAGTTCCTTAGGAACATGTAAGATGTCCTTCTCTAGAAGTCATTAAAAGCTAGCTAGGTTTTTTTTGTTGTTAGTTTGGAGAGGGTGGCCTCTCAAAGGTCTCTTCTTAGGATTTTATGAATGTTTAGCTTTTGTACTTGGAAAGAATATTTGAATATTTTACCTTTGCTTTCTTTTCTAATTTGGAATAGTTACTTAAACCCTTGAATTTAGTACACTGCCATACTCACTGTGATCACAAAGTACATATTCTTAATAATGATGCACCTGCTTATTCACCTGATAACCATTTTCTGGCTCTATCCCATGATGTATCTGAACTCTGCTAAGAAGCAGGTTCTAACTCTTGACTCAGATATTTAAGTACAGGAATTTAGTCTTATCATCGCTCAGTATGACCAGATCAAGATGGATGACTTTGAGAAAAAAATCAAGTGTTTCAGATTGCTCTTGTACTTTCTGCGTCTGGCTTGAAAAGCATCACCTGCATTTCTAAAGATATTTTCAAGTGTTTTAGATGTATTTTCTGTAGGGCACCCCAGCCAAATGCAAAATTTGAACAAAGCTCCATGTGTTAAGCCCCAGTTTAAAGGCCCCTGAATTCCTGATAAAATATATATATATATATTTTTTTTTTTGGCGGTACGCGGGCCTCTCTCACTGTTGTGGCCTCTCCCGTTGTGGAGCACAGGCTCCGGACACGCAGGCTCAGCGGCCATTGCTCACGGGCCCAGCCGCTCCGCGACATGTGGGATCTTCCCGGACCGGGGCACGAACCCGTGTCCCCTACATCGGCAGGCGGACTCTCAACCACTGCACCACCAGGGAAGCCCCTGATAAAATATTTCGATGACATAACTAGATGAAGCTAGGCCTTGATAATATAGTTTCAGGTAAACTGTTTCTTCAAGAGTAATGTATGGTTACATGTGTCTTTCTAAGACTGTTAGTGTGCATTGTTTCCAGGGGAGAGAGTTGAAGGTTGGGAGTGTGTGGAAAATATTTGTTTAACTTTGGACTCTGTTTAGCCTGCTTTTTCTCTCTAGTATTTGATTCCCCTTAAAAGTAAACCAAGCTTCATTAATACTTAGAGGTCCAATCAAAGATAATTTGAATACTGAAACTTATAACAAATTAATGACCTTCAGTCAAAAAAGATCCTGGCTATTTATTAATAAACTTTGCTCAGGTTTTCCTATCTCTATGCACATTGTCCTTGATAGGCTTTTCCCATATAAATGGAAATCGAGGTGATTTATTATTGTAACTGACTTTATCTCACTGAGGTGAAACATGGATTACATCATCTTTTCTGCCAGTTTCCTAAATATATATGTTAGACTCTGGTAATTATTAGTTTCTAGACCATTGTTCCAAAGGCCAAATATTTTTAAATGTTTTAAAGTTGGGCTAAAGAGCTCAATAAAACTGAATGAAGAATAAGAGGCTTTCAAATCTGAGACCTGTTCTTAATTTAGCCAAGTGAAGTACCTAATTTGCCATACATTTGCTCTTATTTCCAAAAGGAGATAACCCTGCCTGTAGCTCAAACACAGGAGCATCTTTCTTTTTTTTAATTGGTTTTTGCTTTTGACTAAATGAAAACCTGGCAGTTTCTAAGCTCACATATGAGACTATAGTATACCCTTTCCTATTTAAATACATGTTTGAGGAAAAAGTTCCTTGTAGCCAGGGAAAGCTGCCTTTCCTCCCTTTGAAAGACTCTCATCTGAGAGGCCCCTTCTTCCCCCTCTGTACTTGTTTCTCCTGGGTGATGTTCAGTGCCATCAGTATAGACACAGCACAGCAGCTCACCAACAGCAAAGGTACTTTTACAAAGTCAGATCCTGAAGGTTCTTCTAGCTGATGACAGAGTGACTCCCTCCCTCTGAAGATGCTTATTGGTCTTCCTTTGCCTGCCACTTTGAATGGGGGTGGGGAATGCCATGTATTTAGAAAGGAAAATATAGAGAAAAGAACATTGATCTGGTGACTGTGCCATCAACAAACAGGGATAATAGGCATGTCATTTAACATGCCTGGGGCCTCAATTTCATAACCTGAAAAACAAGGTAGTTGGGTTATATGGTCTCTAAAAATTCATACTGCTCTAAAATTACATGGTTATTGTTCTTTGGGATCTTGAATATGGTCACTCTTAAAATCCTATACTTTTCCCTTGTCTCTCAAGACAGTGTGGACCTAGCATTTGTCCAGTGTTACATGAAATTTCTGTCACCACACTTCAAAGGCCCTTTTCTTTGATTTCTACCTAATTTGGGGTTGATTGATCCTAACAGTTATTGAGAGGAATGTTTTTGAGGGAAATCTTGGGAGAGTTGGCTTGTGGCAAGTGGAAAGGCCTCATAAATGTTTAAGGCTGTTTCAAGATCTGGTTATCTTTCAATTATCTGGTTGATGTTTCCCAAGCAACTTGTTCACAGCTTGTCACAATTTCTAGTATAACCACTAAATCCAAGGTAGCCCAATTCCGAGGCAAACACAGAGCCAATCTAAATCCTCCTTCCATTGTTTTTATTACAGGGTGCTATGGAGACAGCATGGACTTTGGAGTCAGCCAGAGCTGGGAGTTCACAATCTGACTCTGCCTTTTTCTGATTTTGTGATACAGGTTAACCTCCCTGTGTCTCAGAGTCATCATCTATAAAACAGCAATACTTAAGTACTTACCTTAAAAATTATTATGGGATTAATGTGATGACAGACAAGAAGAGCTTCTCATGTGCCTCTTAAAGAGAACACCAGACATTTGTATACCTCTTTAGCATTTATGAAACACCTCATAGAAGTAGTTTCATTTAGGGTGTTGTGTGGATAAAATATCATTTAGGTATTGAGGCCCGAGTCAGGCTTGCTGGGTAGGGGCCCTGGGCTTTGGAGCTAGGTCACACCAGATCCAGAGCCTTGGCTATCTTGAGGGTCTTGTCTAAAATATCCTTTTATATTTTCCAGGAATCTGAATTTCTGTGTTTGGAGTTTGATGAGGTCAAGGTCACCCAAGTCCTGAAGAAGCTCTCGGAGGTAGAAGAAAGTATCAGCACACTGATGCAGCCAGCCTAGCTGAAGATGGAGCTGTTGAAGCAAAGGTGTTCATGATCCCTCCCCAGGGACCTGCTTTTTTAAAAAAAAAAATCTTATTCCCCCAATAGTATTAAATCCTCAAGTTCAAATCTTGCCTGCCTCAGCTTGCTACGATTTCTTTCTCTCTTCCTTTCATTTACTCTTATAGTTGATCTACTGCAGACGTTCTTATACTTCAGCATACAGAGGCACTCATAAAAGCATTTTTTAAAAAAAAAGGCCTTAAGGACCTTATCCACAGAGACTTGGATTCAGTAGGACTGGGGTGGGATCAGCTTTAGAAACCCTTGCTATGGTGGCTTATTCCTGGGTAGGATTATATACATGATAAATCATGTATAAATTTGGTCAAGGCTGACCGAATATGGCCTGAGCTGAGGCCTAGAGGAGCCTGCCTAACCTAGAAGAGGTTTACTGACCTTAGTAAGACATGAGATGCTTCTGGAACTGATTGAGGCATTTGTATTAGTTCTGCTTAAATCTTGGGGGGTCTGGTTTGATCTGAGCTACTGAGAAACTTGGGCTTTTCTGGAACCTAGAACTAAATTGGCCTCATCATAAAGGGTCTCCCTTCACTTATCTCAAGTCAGGATGGTGGGAAGGGAAAATGTCTCTTGAAGTGATGTGAGGTCTTTACCTCAGAAAATTTTACCTAAGTCATCAAATAAAACTTCTTCAAGACAATTTCTTCAAGAAAACTAGCATAAAAACTAGGTCCTGGGAATTCCCTGGTGGCGCGGTGGTTAAGGATCTGCCTGCCAACGTGGGGGACACGGGTTCAAGCCCTGGTCCGGGAAGATCCCACATGCCGTGGAGCAACTAAGCCCGTGTGCCACAACTACTGAGCCTGTGCTCTAGAGCCCGCGAGCCACAACTACTGAGCCTGTGAGCCACAGCTACTGAAGCCCGTGCCCCTAGAGCCCTTGCTCTGCAACAAAGAGAAGCCACTGCAATGAGAAGCCTGTGCACTGCAACAAAGAATAGTCCCCGCTCGCCGCAACTAGAGAAAGCCCGCGTGCAGCAACAAACACCCAACGTACCCAATAAATAAATAAACAAACAAACTAGGTCCTGGTAGAGAAGTTATACCAAACACCAAGAATATTCTAAGAGGAGGAAATGTCAACTAGTACATTGAGGCTATGGTCCTTGTTGAACAGGTTTTGTCATCTGACACTGATAACATTTAGAAACTTCAGTTGCCTTTGGGATGTAATGTGTCCCCAAAATGTAGTGCTCTTGGTCTGTGGTTACAGCATATGTCAGTTCTAATGAGTTTATTCCAGGGCAGTAATAATTCCTCTTCTGTTAAGCATTTTCTCCTAAATCAGTTTAAAGACATTTTAGGAGCTTTTCCAAAACCCAAGCAGAAAATTTGGCTTCCTCCCTGATTAAAACCATCCCAGCAGTTAGCAGACAATAACCAGAAAGTTTTAAATGTAGCCCCTGTGGACCCTTCAGAAAACATCTTGAAACAGTATGGTAAATAGATTCAGAAAAGGTGCGTGGTTTGGCGAAAGAACTATTAAAACTTGCTTTCTGTTCTCAGGGCTACTGTCACGTGATCCAGGAGAATTTAGATAATGTCTCCTGCTGTAAAATGGAGGAAAAGAATATCTCATCAGATAATGGGATTCCAGATGTCACTGAAAGGAAGAACTGTAGCTACCATGTTAGTATTGAGTCACATTTCCAATGAAAGTCTGTGGAGGCCTGAAGGAACAGTCCATGGGCCCACAGGGAGAGGGCATCATTGTTGTGGTTTGAAGCTCTATTTAGGTCATTCTGTGAAAGTAATAGCCACAAAAGTGGACATGGGCTTTTTTATTATATCCCCAAACCCTAGGTCATTGGTAAAACTGTGAATGCGTACTGAATTTTTCAGAATAATGATAATAAAAGAAACTGGTTGCTGAAGGTGGGCCCCATATTTAACACTAAACACTTTTGAATGCAAGTGGTTTCAGACAGGGTGTGTTTGCATGTGTTTTATGTTTACTGGTGATTTTTTACTTTCTGATTGCCAAGGGAGTATTATGTTTATTATAGTCTATTGTGAAAATATAGTACTCACTAAGAAGAGTTAAATGACCCATCATTATTATTATTGAGGTATAGTTGATGTACAGAGCACACAGTTTTTAAGACTTTGATAAACATTACAAATTGCTCTCCAAAAAGGTTAATATCAGTTTGTATTACCTCTAAGAAAGTATGTGACTAAGTTATTCCCTTTCTTGCCTATTGGATATTATCTGCTTTTTGTATTTTCTGGTACTGACCTATTTTTGTAAATTTTTGCAAAGGGCACTTACTTATACTAGGACATCTTCCTGGGGATGGGGCAAGCATGGAGAAAGGACCAGGAAAGGAGAAAACTGGCATAAGGGTCCCAGCAGACCCCACTAGGTTTCCTACCTCTATAACCCTAGGTTAAAACCACTTTATTTTGAGTTCAGGAAATGTGGAGCAAAATAAAAATAATCCTCAGCCTGAATTGGGCCTTGTAGAAATTGTCCCTGCTTAAACCATAAGCACTGTAACTTCAGTCTGTTTAGAAACAGTACAGACAAGCCAAATGTTGCTTTCAAAATAAAGTCAGAAAGAATCTCCAGAGTTTAGCAGTTTCATGTTGATAGGGAGCAAAGGATTTGGCCTTATTCTCAGGACTGCCTTTTCTTGGAAGCTCTGGTTCCTATCAGCTTCATCAGTGGAGGCTTAAATTCGACTATTATAGCCTCCTCTTTCCTTTATATAACCTCTCTTCCCCCAGTCTTGCTTTAACGATGATTCAAAAGGAATTGCAGCATTTTAAAGTTTAGTTTAACTTAGTCTTTCCCAAGTGCAAGCAGGTGGTGAAAAGCAAACGATCACATTGAGTATCTGAAATCTTAAATAGCTGACATTGTGTCAAGCTAGTAATTATTGAAGTTCTTTTTTTAGACCTGAGTGAAAATTTGGAAAACAGAATATAATAGAAATTAAAGGAAAATAAATGTTAAACAGATGTTAGAAAATATTGTTTTCTGAAGTACACAATAAATATCTAGACCAGTGAAGGGACAAGGATATAGAAGGAGGCCTTCTGGAGTCAGATCAGAAATGGTTTGATACTTTTCTAAAAGAACAGGATGCTGGAAAAGATGGGCCTTTGTGAGACAGTTGCCACCTTATAATTCTTAACTGTCCAACTTCCCAGCCAAGGTTTTCAAATATTTTAGATGGTGATTTAGCCAGCAGAAGGGAAAACGTAAATAGAACATAATTAGTTTGCATTTAACTCTAGTTGCAAAGTGTACAGTTTTTTACCTCAAAATTTGAGAAATAACAATTTTTATCTAAGTGCAGTCAGTTCTCCCTTATCTGGGGACGGCCATAAACGTCTCTTACCACATCACAACTACATGCCGTGCTCACTAGCTTATGTTGCAAAGGAACCTGCCTCGGCCTGTTTCCTGTCAGATAAATGGTGCCAACCAACATAATTCACAAGTTTAGTACATATATTATCAGAATAAAATACTAAGCCTGTACATGAGAAGATAGTAAAATACGGGTATTTACATCTTTTACTCACCAAGCACTGTAAGTAGGCCTTTTGTTTCTCTCTTACCTGCTCTTGGCTAGTTTTCTGTTTCTTGCTAGTGTTAGGGTTTCAAGTTCTGTTGATTTACAGGATGGAGGTGGGGGAGAAATGGGAAGGGGGGAAATATAGGTTTGATTGCACAGTGGAATAAGAGATTAAACTACTAGTTTAAAGGAATTTAGGCTGAATAATGAAAATAGTTAAAATCCTTAATGCTTCTATTATACTGTTTTTACATTAAAGAAATAAAAATAAATTTGGGAATTTTATATGATTCATATTCTGGCTATTTTTAGAACCATGGCTAAAATTTGGCACTGATCTCAGAATGACCGATTTGGAGGCTTTTGTAGAAGCTATTTTATCATCTTGTCAAAATGGGGAAACATCTGGAGAGACAGGGCAGAGGACTTGTACAAGGCCGTCGTCAGGAAGAGACCTTAGGGTACTGTCTTCTATCTCTATGTTCTACCTGCCAGACTCACCAAAAGAATAAAATGTGCTTGTAGAAAATACCTATGTCCTAGCTCATTGTGTTTAGATGATGATAATTTTTCCAGTGATGATTTTTGTTTGGAGATATGACCTTGAGGGCTGTGAGGTCCAGTGTCACTTGCAACCTGCATCCACATTAGACCTGTCTCTGTGCTGAGGCTGCTAATGTCCTTTGTAGAGCCTGATGCTATTTCTTATTACCTTGGCTTCACTCAATGCCACCCATCTCTAGGACAATGTGCAAGATGAGTCTGCTGCCACATGGGGCTTCCTGGCTGTCCACAGTACCCAGACAGGCAGCAGATTATCCTTATCCTTGCTGGACAACCATGACCCAAGCTTACTAAATACAACATAACTCTTGTTCATTAATTCATTATAATAATGTCTATAGTGAATTCTGTAGCAGCCACTTCCTCACTGTTACGGTTTTCTCAACATGGTCTACCCACAGTGCAGTAGAAGAGAAGTCAGATTTTTTTTTTTTTTACATTTTAATTATAAAAGTAACACATGTTGGGAATTCCCTGGCTGTCCAGTGGTTAGGACTCCATGCTTCCACTGCAAGGGGCACAGGTTCAATCCCTGGTCAGGAAACTAAGATCCCATAAGCCGCATGGTGCAGCCAAAAAAAAAAAAAAAAGTAACACGTGCTCATTAAAAATTATTAAAGATTATTTAATTTTTAAATCAGTATAGAATTGTATAGAATCAGTCTTCCTTGCCTTTTGCTTTTAAAAAAAGTCTCTCTCCCCTGAAGTAGTTGCTGTTAACAGTCTGGAAGGTGTGTTTCCTTCCAGACACTTTCTAGGCACATCAAAGTAAGGGGGTATATACATACATACATACACACACATATACTATATCTATATCCATATGTATGTTGATATAGTTATATGTTCAAGTATACCTTCAAAGCATCATTTTAGTGGTCCTTAACTTTTGGATGATACTTTATGTCTTAAAGAATCCAATGAAAGCTATGGTTTCTCTTTCCCAGAAAAAAGACATGCACATATTCACTGAATTTTTCATTCAGTGTCAGGAGTTTCATGAATTCCCAGAAAGCAATCTGCCACCACCTCTACCAATCCCCTAAGGTTTATGGAGCCAGGGACAGCCAAGAAAATAGCAACAATTTGTAGTGGATTTGGAGAGGATTATTATTTACAGCAGAAACCTAATGAATCCGTATACTCAGGGTGCTCTTAGTTGAATTTTCTGGTCAACAGAGTTTATCACAAAATATTTTTTAGTTACAAAACTTTGAATTAAAAACATTATAAAAAGTCTCAGTTCACTCCCCTCTGTGACAGACAAGGATCCCTCAGTACTCCATTCTCATCCCTTTGTGCCTGCTGAACTTTCACAACTGCCATCACAGCGCCTAAGCATTTTAGTATACCTCTTTGTCTGCACATCTGTCTCCCCCCACCCCTACCCCCGCCCCATGGCTGTGAACTCCTTAAGGAGAGGGACCTTATCTCATCATCTTTGTATGCTTCCCCCTCCCCCTGCCTACAAAAGTCTCCACAATTGTGCATGAGATGAATGAGCATCAGAGGTGTGATGATTGAGTTGAGTATTAATCAAATCCAGTGGTTCCATTTAGTAGGGAAAAAGAAAGCATTAGAGTCAGAGAGATGTAGGTTTCAATCACAGCTCTGCACAGGCCTGGCTGTGGGACCTCAGGCGAGTTTAGTTTTCTCATCTGAAAAATAGGGCTGATTTTTTTTTTTTAAGGGTTGATAAATCAAATTCACAGGATTAGATACTATAGGATAAATAGGATTTAGGAGATAGTCTCAGAGACATCTTTTAGAGACCCAAGGGCTCTTTGCCCGGGTCAAATCCTGGCTCTTTTATTTACAAGTTGTGCAAACTAGGGCAACTTATTTAACATCTCTTTGCCTCAGTTTCTTCATTTGTAAAAATGGGATGATAATACAATAATACCGACCTCAGTTGGCATACTAGGAGAATAAAATGAGTTAATATGTAGAAAGCACCTGGGATAATATCTGCACAGAGTTGGCACATATAAATGTTTGCTGTTGCTATTTTTATTATCATTATTACTACTGTTAGGAACTGTCTTCTTAGGAAGCTAAAACCAGTAACCATGAAGCAGTTTACAAGCATTTCAGGTCAGTGGTCAATTAAGTGCTAAATTGAATGGTACAAACACAATTGCTATGAGAGTTTCAGCAAAGAAAAAGGTCAGAGGGGGCTGGAGTCATCTGGAAAGGTTTATAAGCCAAAGCTTTTTAAAATCAGGTGAACTCGTGAAGATAGAGGGGTATGTTTTTGGATCTGGAGGTGGAAAGGGAACACGTTTCCAGGAATGGGTAGGGTCACACCTTTTCATGGAAGGGGCCTGCCTTTTCTCCTGTGGATGTTTACAATTCCGAATCTTATCTGGCTCACAATCTGGGGCTCAGGTTCTAGGTTATGAGTTGTCATAAATGGAGAGCTGAGAAAAGGGAGACTAATGCAGTTGTGTTCCTGTGGAAGACAATCAAAGTTAAACGTGGCTGGAGTCAGAGAATCTGTGACTGCTAACAGACGCAGGACTGTGCAACTAAACAAACCCCAAGGCTTACTCCCTCCCTGAGGAGGTGAGGCCACAAGCAGTTACTGTAGCATGCCTGGTGGAACTCTGGGCCCATTCTGGCTCGATTGAGAAGGAAGGTGAAGTCTGTTGTTCTTTCAAGGGTCGCTTACCTGCCTCCTGAAGAGAATCCCCAGGGCCTAGATTCTGGAAAGGGAAGGAAAAGCAATGAGAAATTAAAAACAACCTTTGTCTTGTTAGCCCATGAGATTCACGTTCATGCCCCGCAAGCACTTTGCAGGAAGGAATGAGTGGGTTTTTTTGGCTGCGTTGGGTCTTCGTTGCTGCGCGCGGGCTTTCTCTAGTTGTGGTGAGCAGGAGCTACTCTTCATTGCGGTGCGCAGGCTTCTCATTGCAGTGGCTTCTCTTGTTGTGGAGCATGGGCTCTAGGCACGTGGGCTTCAGTAGTTGTGGTATGTGGGCTCAGAAGTTGTGGCTCACGGGCTCTAGAGCGCAGGCTTAGTAGTTGTGGCGCATGGGCTTAGTTGCTCCGCGGCATGTGGGATCTTCCCAGACCAGGGCTCGAACCCATGTCCCCTGCATTGGCAACAGGATTCTTAACCACTGTGCCACCAAGGAAGCCCAGAATGAGTGTTCTTTAAAAAAAATTAATTCCTACCTGCTCTTTCCCACAAAGCAGAGTTCAGTTGTGGCGACTTAACGGGGGTGAAGGTTGTTACTCTGTAAAACTGAACTTTGCCCAGAGAGTTTGTATTTGCTGTCAACCAACAGCCAAAGAATGGCCCAGAAAGGCAGATGGGCCAGGTAACATTCACTGTCCCCTGGAGCCCCACCCTAACCTGGAGTGGCCGGCCCAGGTAGGGGCTAGAGGTGAGGTGCCAAATCCTCTGGGCACTGAAGGTCCACCTGGCTTTGGACCTCATAGACTAAGGAGGTGCCTTTCCCCAGATCCCCTCTGAAGTGGAAGAAAGCAAATCACTTCATAAATTACTTACTGTATGATCCATTAAACCATAGATGTAACCATTTCCTGGTTAGTGTACCACCACTTTAAATATGGTCTATAGGGAATTTAGAGAAAAATCTTTTCCCCCAGTATCAGGAAGTAAGTAAAATAAATAATAAGTAAGTAAATAATAACTAACCAGATAATTCGAGTAGAGGAGTATCCAGTGGGCAAGTTATCAGACCCACCCAATTCCCTTGCTGAGACAGATGGAAAAAAGCTGATCCTTCTTTGCATCTATGCTTATGTATGTAACTTTAGTAAATGGGGAAGAGTAAGGCAAAAGTTTAACAAACAGTCCCCTTTCCTCTCCCTGTACACATAGGGAGCTGTTGAATAAAAAGCCAAGGGAATTTGATTCTGAAGTTCCCTGAAGAGCTGGAGAAATCTCCTCACGGGGGACCTGACCCTGGGAGAATCAACTTGCAGCCCCTGTGGGAAAGCAGCCGGAGAATCACTGCTGCAGAGGTGAGACCCAGCTAGTTCCTGTTGACCTGCATGAGCCCCCGGAGAGAAGTGGTTGCTGCATAACAGCAGGGCCATTCTTTGTAGATGGAACACTACACCTAGTTTTGTACCTGGAAGCTTAGCCAATTAATAAGCCACTTAACTGTGGTTTGTTAAGAAGCTGGTTTGGGGAGACGACGAGGGTTTAAACTCTTATCCTTTCCTTCCATTTTATCTTATCCTTGTCCTGGAAAAGGACTGAAGATTGCTGGTGACTTGTTCCATTTCTCACCCTTATTTTGCCAGGTGCTAAATCACCCAGTCAGTCAGAATTAAGTACATGCTTCCAGCTAAGTTTTTTGAGAGATTAAAAATGTTTCAACTGTCAAAAGTATCACCATAGTCTTAGGAAAAATCAGGACTTTTGTAGGATTTCTGTGCTTTCATAGTTTTTTTGTTTTTTTCAGTTTTTTTAAATTATAAGTACAAAGAAGGGAGGAGACTCATAATCTTTTTTCAGGGACTGTTAAGGGTCTTAATCAGGCCTGATATCCCACAAAGTTTCCAGGGTGCCCTGTGGGAGGAGTATAGGGCTGCCCAAGAGGCCGAGGCCACTGGAAGAGGGATTGATTATATTTCAGGGTTAAGAGGGTACCTCCCATTCCGGGAGCTCAGAACATGGACCTTGGCCTTTTGGGTGGAAGTGTATGGACATTTCTGTCTTCAAGGAGCTGTTTTGGTTTGCTTTTAACTTTATGCAAATAATACATGGATACATTGTCCTTGAGAAGCATTTAAACCTTATAATTAAGGCTAAAGTCCTCTATGACCAATACCCTCCATCCTGGCTTCTTCCTCTTCTTCCTCAGCAATAACCTCTGTGATCACTTTGAGTGTATCTCCTTCCATGGTTTTTTTATGATTTTTACCTACCTGCATATATGGCCATATTTACAGTACTGTTTTATGTATTCCTGTAACACAAGTGCAATCACACTGTATGTATTATCCTGCAAATTGCTTTTTTCCCTCAACAGCATGTTTTGGAACTTTTCTAAATTAGTACTACAGAGACCAACAACCCACCAAACTGACATAGAGAATATTTCAAAGTGGAAGCATCTGAACTACAGAAGATGCTGAAAGAAATCTCATTAGAACTTCCCTTATCTGATCAGAACAGAGCTCTACTAGAGCCAGCTGCTAGCACTCTCCCCCCATCACCCTTACGGCTCAAATTAGGGAGGCTGACCTTGGGCACCGGGACATCCCCCCAAAATTGTGTAAACACATCTCACCAGAACCTTCCATCCTTTGAAGCCCAAAGCCCGTCCCCTCCTATTAACCTGGTATATAAACCTTTACTCCTAACTATTCTGGGAGCTACTCTAGAGTAGTACAGGGAGTACTATGGGGTGGTCCTGCATTCATAATATTAATACATTTTTCTCCTGTTAATTTGTGTGTTGTCAGTTCATGTGCATCGCACTCCCCTCAGTCAGACCTAAGTTGGTAGAGAAGTTTTTCCTCCCAAAAGTTTATATAAATTTACCTCACTAATTTCAACTGCTGCATAGTATTACAGAGAGACAATAGGTTTGGGTTTTGTTTTTCTTTAATTCCCTATCAATGGATTTTTAGGTTGTTTCCAGTTTTTCCCCATGGCAAACAATACTGCAGTGAATATACTTGCACATGCCTCCCAATATACATGTGCAAATATATCTTAGAAAACAGGAATTGCTATATCATGGGTTATACGCTTTTTAGATTCTAGACACTGGCAAATAGACTGGAGTACAATAAATGTTTAACAGCCAGTCTCCCATAAAAGGAGGTAGGGGCTAATTTGTAGCATTTGTCCTATTTCCATTGTGTGAGTTCTCCCACCATGGCCAATTTCAAACTACTAATATTCATTACTGAACTTGGATTTGGGACGAGTTATATACACTGTTAGCTCTTGCAAGCTGGTATGAACTGACTCCAGCACAGTTCGAGAATTCCTCAAACTCAGGATGCAGACAGATACCGGCAAATAGCCCTCCGAAGTAGCCCAACCAGCTTGTACTTTTGCAAGCAGTGTACGAACCTGTCTTGATAATATTACAGTTTTTTGCAAATATGAGTCAAAAAATGATACCTCATTTTGCCTTGCATATTCCCAGTCATCAATGAGGTTGAGCATCTTTTCACATTTTATCAGTATTTCCTGCTCTGTGAAATGGTCCATATCCTTTGCCTGTTTGTTTTTTCTTGTTGTTGTTTTACTTATTCATCTTTTTCTTACTGATGTGTTGGAGCCCTTGATGTAGTCTGAAAATATATTGTCCTTCAAGTAGTTTTCAATCTATTTTAGAGAATAAAATTGTAGAGGAATATTCCCAAATTCTATTGAGTACCTACTATATGAACATACCCATCAAGGACTGGGACTGAGAAAAGTACACATGGTGTACATCAAATTCTGTGTGTACTTGTGTACCATTGTGGTAGGGTCAGTTGAACACACATGTGCATACCACTAGTACTAATAACAAGTAATTACTGTGAAAAATACATAAATTGTATTTTGGCTCAGTCAGGCTATTTGTTGTATTTTTCATAAGCATATTATTGATCATTTCTCTTGGGGACACTTAGGTCACTGGACTTTTTTCCGAAGGAATATATATACCAGCACTTCTTATTCACACTGAAGTCTCTTGTGAGTCTTCCTGTGAGGTCTCATCCTCATCTTTTCACTGTTGGCCCTGATCTGAAAAGGTGCAGTGCTTTTCTTTCCAGGCTGTTCTTCCCTGAAAATGACTGGCTGCCCCAGCAGCTTGCTGTCTTCTGGGATGAATTAAGAACTACAGTTTTGCCCGGGAGGAACCAAGATGGCGGAGTAGAAGGACGTGCTCTCACTCCCTCTTGTGAGAACACCAGAATCACAACTAGCTGCTGGACAATCATCGACAGGAAGACACTGGAACTCACCAAAAAAGATACCCCACATCCAAAGACAAAAGAGAAGCCACAATGAGATGGTAGGAGGGGAGCAATCACAGTAAAATCATATCCCATAACTGCTGGGTGGGTGACTCACAGACTGGAGAACACTTATACCACAGAAGTCCACCCACTGGAGTGAAGGTTCTGAGCCCCACATCAGGCTTCCCAACCTGGGAGTCCGGCAACGGGAGGAGAAATTCCTAGAGAATCAGATTTTGAAGCCTAGTGGGATTTGATTGCAGGACTTAGACAGGACTGGGGGAAACAGAGACTCCACTCTTGGAGGGCACACACAAAGTGTGCGCATTGGGACCCAGGGGAAGGAGCAGTGACCCCAGGGGAGACTGAAGCAGACCTACCTGCTAGTGTTGGAAGGTCTCCTGCAGAGGCAGGGGGTGTCTGTGGCTCACCATGGGGACAAGGAAACTGGCAGCAGAAGTTCTGGGACATACTCCTTGGCATGAGCCCTCCCAGAGTCTGTCATTAGCCCCACCAAAGAGCCCAGGTAGGCTCCAGTGTTGGGGTGCCTCAGACCAAACAACCAACAGGGAGGGAACCCAGCCCCACCCATCAGTGGTCAAGGAGATTAAAGTTTTACTGAGCTCTGCCCAGCAGAGCAACAGTCAGCTGTACCCGCCACCAGTCCCTCCCATCAGGAAACTTACACAAGCCTCTTAGATAGCCTCATCCACCAGAGGGCAGACAGCAGAAGCAAGAAGAACTACAATCCTGCAGCCTGTGGATCAAAAACCACAGAAAGATAGACAAGATGAAAAGGCAGAGGGCTATGTACCAGATGAAGGAACAAAATAAAACCCCAGCAAAACAACTAAGTGAAGTGGAGATAGGCAACCTTCCAGAAAAAGAATTCAGAATAATGTTAGTGAAGATGATCCAGGACCTCGGAAAAAGAATGGAGGCAAAGATCGAGAAGGTGCAAGAAATGTTTAACAACGACCTAGAAGAACTAAAGAACAAACAGAGATGAACAATACAATAACTGAAATGAAAACTACACTAGAAGGAATCAATAGCAGAATAACTGAGGTAGAAGAACGGATAAGTGACCTGGAAGACAGAATGGTGTGGAATTCACTGCTGCAGAGCACAATAAAGAAAAATGAATGAAAAGAAATGAAGACAGCCTAAGAAACCTCTGAGACAACATTAAACGCAACAACATTCACACTGTAGGGGTCCCAGAAGGAGAAGAGAGAGAGAAAGGACCCGAGAAAATATTTGAAGAGATTATAGTTGGAAACTTCCCTAACATGGGAAAGGAAATAGCCACCCAAGTCCAGGAAGCACAGCGAGTCCCATACAGGATAAACCCAAGGAGAAACAGGCCGAGACACATAGTAATCAAATTGGCAAAAATTAAAGACAAAGAAAAATTATTGAAGGCAGCAAGGGAAAAATGACAAATAACATACAAGGGAACTCCCATAAAGTTAACAGCTGATTTCTCAGCAGAAACTCTACAAGCCAGAAGGGAGTGGCATGATATACTTAAAGTGCAGAAAGGGAAGAACCTACAACTAAGATTCCTCTACCCGACAAGGATCTCATTCAGATTCGATGGAGAAATCAAAAGCTTTACAGACAATCAAAAGCTAAGAGAATTCAGCACCACCAAACCACCTCTACGATAAATGCTAAAGGAACTTCTGTAAGTGGGAAACACAAGAGAAGAAAAGGACCTACAAAAACAAACCCAAAACAATTAAGAAAATGGTCACATTAACATACATACCAATAATTACCTTAAATGTGAATGGATTAAATGCTCCAACCAAAAGACACAGGCTTGCGGAGTGGATACAAAAACAAGACCCATATATATACTGTCTGCAAGAGACCCATTTCAGACCTAGGGACACATTCAGGCTGAAAGTGAGGGTATGGAAAAAGATATTCCATGCAAATGGAAATCAAAAGAAAGCTGGAGTAGCAACACTCACATCAGATAAAATAGACTTTAAAATAAAGAATGTTACAAGAGACAAGGAAGGACACTACATAATGATAAAGGGATCAGTCCAAGAAGAAGATATAACAATTATAAATATATATGCACCCAACGTAGGAGCACCTCAATACATAAGGCAACTGCTAACAGCTGTAAAAGAGGAAATTGACAGTAACACAATAATAGTGGGGGACTTTAACACCTCACTTACACCAATGGACAGATCATCCAAAATGAAAATAAATAAGGAAACAGAAGCTTTAAATAACACAATAGACCAGATAGATTAATTGATATTTATAGGACATTCCATCCAAAAACAGCAGATTACACTTTCTTCCCAAGTGCACATGGAACATTCTCCAGGATAGATCACATCTTGGGTCACAAATCAAGCGTCAGTAAATTTAAGAAAATTGAAATCATATCAAGCATCTTTTCTGACCACAACACTATGAGATTAGAAATCAATTACAGGGAAAAAAATGTAAAAAACACAAACACATGGAGGCTAAACAATCCATTACTAAATAACCAAGAGATTACTGAAGAAATCAAAGAGGAAATCAAAAAACACCTAGAGACAAATGACAATGAAAACACGATGATCCAAAACCTATGGGATGCAGCAAAAGCAGTTCTAAGAGGGAAGTTTATAGCTATACAAGCCTACCTCAAGAAACAAGAAAAATCTCAAATAAACAATCTAACCTTACACCTAAAGGAACTAGAGAAAGAAGAACAAACAAAACCCAAAGTTAGCAGAAGGAAAGAAATCATAAAGATCAGAGCAGAAATAAATGAAATAAAAACAAAGAAAACAGTAGCAAAGATCAATAAAACTAAATGCTGGTTCTTTGAGAAGATAAAGAAAATTGATAAATCATTAGCCAGACTCATCAAGAAAAAGAGGAAGAGGACTCAAATCAATAAAATTAGAAATGAAAAAGGAGAAGTTACAACAGACACCGCAGAAATACAAAGCATCCTAAGAGACTACTACAAGTAACTCTATGCCAATAAAATGGACAACCTGGAAGAAATGGACAAATTCTTAGGTATAACCTTCCAGGACTGAACCAGGAAGAAATAGAAAATATGAACAGACCAATCACAAGTAATGAAATTGAAACTGTGATTAAAAATATTCCAACAAACAAAAGTCCAGGACCAGATGGCTTCACAGGTGAATTCTATCAAACATTTAGAGATGAGCTAACACCCATCCTTCTCAAACTCTTCCAAAAAATTGCAGAGGAAGGAACACTCCCAAACTCATTCTATGAGGCCACCATCACCCTGATACCAAAACCAGACAAAGATACTACAAAAAAAGAAAATTACAGACCAATATCACTGATGAATATAGATGCAAAAATCCTCAACAAAATACTAGCAAACAGAATCCAACAACATATTAAAAGGATCATACACCATGATCAAGTGGGATTTATCCCAGGGATTTAAGGATTCTTCAATATACGCATATCAATCAATGTGATACACCACATTAACAAATTAAGGAGTAAAAACCATGTGATCATCTCAAGAGATGCAGAAAAAGCTTTTGACAAAATTCAACACCCTTTTATGATAAAAGCTCTCCAGAAAGTGGGAATAGAGGGAACCTACCTCAACATAATAAAGGCCATATACGACAAACCCACAGCAGACATCATTCTCAATGGTGAAAAACTGAAAGCATTTCCTCTAAGATCAGGAACAAGACAGGGATGTCCACTCTCACCACTATTATTCAACATAGTTTTGGAAGTTGTAGCCACGGCAATCAGAGAAGAAAGAGAAAGAAAAGGAATACAAATTGGAAGAGAAGAAGTAAAACTGTCAGCGTTTGCAGATGACATGATACTATACATAGAGAATCCTAAAGATGCCACCAGAAAACTACTAGAGTTAATCAGTGAATTTGGTAAAGTTGCAGGATACAAAATTAATGCATGGATATCTCTTGCATTCCTATACACTAATGCTGAAAAATCTGAAAGAGAAATTAAGGATACACTCCCATTTACCATTGCAACAAAAAGAATAAAATACCTAGGAATAAACCTACCTAGGGAGACAAAAGACATGTATGCAGAAAACTATAAGACACTGATGAAAGAAATTAAAGATGATACAAACAGATGGAGAGATATACCATGTTCCTGGATTGGAAGAATCAATACTGTGAAAATGACTATACTACCCAAAGCAATCTACAGATTCAATGCAATCCCTATCAAATTACCGATGGCATTTTTTACAGAACTAGAACAAAAAATCTTAAAATTTGTTTGGAGACATGAAAGAGCCCGAATAGCCAAAGCAGTCTTGAGGGAAAAAAATGGAGCTGGAGGAATCAGACTCCCTGACTTCAGACTGTACCTCAAAGCTACAGTAGTCAAGACAATATGGTACTGGCACAAAAACAGAAACATAGATCAATGGAACAAGATAGAAAGTCCAGAGATAAACCCATGCACCTATGCTCAACTAATCTATGACAAAGGAGGTAAGGATGTACAATGGAGAAAAGACAGTCTCTTCAATAAGTGGTGCTGGGAAAACTGGACAGGTACATGTAAAAGAATGAAATTAGAACGCTCCCTAACACCATACACAAAAATAAACTCAAAATGGATTCGAGACCTAAATGTAAGACCGGACACTATAAAACTCTTAGAGGAAAACATAGGAAGAACACTCTTTGACATAAATCACACAAGATCTTTTTTGATCCACCTCCTAGAGTAATGGAAATAAAAACAAAAATAAACAAATGGGACCTAATGAAACCTAAAAGCTTTTGCAGAGCAAAGGAAACTACAAACAAGACGAAAAGACAGCCCTCAGAATGGGAGAAAATATTTGCAAACGAATCAAAGGACAAAGGATTAATCTCCAAAATATATTACAGCTCATGCAGCTCAATGTTAAAGAAACAATCCAATCCAAAAATGGGCAGAAGACCTAAATAGACATCTCTCCAAATAAGACCTACAGATGGGCAAGAAGCACATGAAAAGCTGCTCAACTTCACTAATTATTAGAGAAATGCAAATCAAAAGTACAGTGAGGTATCACCTCACACCATTTAGAATGGGCATCATCAGAAAATCTACAAACAACAAATGCTGGAGAGGGTGTGGAGAAAATGGAACCCTCTTGCAGCGTTGGTGGGAATGTAAATTGATACAGCCAGTATGGAGAACAGTATGGAGGTTCCTTAAAAAACTAAAAATAGAACTACCATATGATCCAGCAATCCCACTACTGTGCATATGCCCAGAGAAAACCATAATTCAAAAAGACACATGCACTCCAGTGTTCATTGCAGCACTATTTACAATAGCCAGGTCACAGAAGCAACCTAAATGCCCATCGACAGACGAATGGGTAAAGAAGTTGTGGTACATATATACAATGGAATAT